CTGGGAAGCTGTTTGTGTCTCAACCACAGGTGACTCCAGGCTGACTGCAAAGCTTCCTGAGGAGCAACCAGAGCTTCTGGCCTCTGAGAGGAGCTTAGTCCAACCTTTGTGGGTGATCTAGGCTCCAGGTGAAGAGATTTCCCTGGTGGCTTTTGAGTGACGAATCCGCAGCCCCACTGCTGAGGGTGTAATTTAAAAATGCTATTTTATCCCATTCTTTTTAGTCATTAATTCAAAAGTCAAGGTGAGTTGTTACATTTTCTGAGTGCTGGCAAACTCAGGTGAGGTGGGAGAATGCTCAGGGAAGAGGGGGATTCCAGGTGCAGAAAACTTGCCTTGTGTTTATGAACGAGATTGGAATCAATACTTTACTTAGAGCTGTGCAGCAACAGTCAAACCTACAATTAAATCTGCAGAGTGGTGAGACATGAGGTGAAAGGAGTTGATTTGATGTTTTGAAGGCTTTCCCAAGTGCTTCAGGCTGCCATTTGCATTGGGAGATGCATGTGGATAGTTTAAATCTGCCTGGCAGAGCCGCGCAGGCTATTTCAGTCATCAGTCTGAAAATAAGCATTTGGAGGTTTTTAATACTCCTGTGGGAGCTGAGTAACAAGGAGGGGACCTGCAGGAGATGCTGGTCCTGAGCTCTCCATCCTCACTTGGGGCAGGATGAGCCTGTGAACCCCCAGAATAGACCCCAGACCTGTTATTGAGCCCCTGATCAATATTTCCCACTGCACTGTGCACCTTAAAAATGGGGATTTTCTAGCTATTAAGGCAAAAAATTAGGCCTGGCTCTTGGGTATACTCAGTCCCCAGGTGTTTCACAGCCTTTTTTTCCTTCTTGCTAATTTTAAATGTTCTTAATGTTGCCAGTGAAATCCTTCATTTACCTTAATTAGACTTGCCTTACATTTAATTGGATTATTAGCATTAACACTGACTACAATTGATAAAGCTGCAGTTTACATTTGGGGGAAATTCAGGCGAAAGATGTGTTAATTGTAGCTTCCCTTGCCTGCAAACAGCACGTAGATTGGAGCATTCTCCTGGAAACTGTATTTTCCTGCTCTTTAGGGGAGTGGGGGGGGGGGATACAAAACCCAGTAGCCTTTGGAGTAACAACCCTGAGTAAGGGTTATAGTAAATGCTAACCCTTAGTAGGGGTTACTGAGTAATAAATGAGTTAGTCAGAGCAGGGCAGTGGGGTTGGGAAAAGTCAAAGTTGCTTTATGAATCTGAGCTTTTTTGCTCCCTCTCTCTCAACAAAGGACAGATCTTGAAGCCTGCTCAGCCATGGGAGAGAAACAAGGAATTCAGTGTGAATGAGAATCCATGAAGACATATCCATAAGCAAAAATCCCCATGGATGGATCTGCAGATTGGAACAGGTGCTGTTCCTGTTGAGGGATTTCCACCTGGGAATGTTCCAGGCCAGGCTGCATAAACTTGGAGGAACCTGGTTTAGTGGAGGGTGGAACTGGATGTTTTTAAGGTCCCTTCCAACCCAAACCATCCTGAGATTCCAGGCTCCAAAAGGGAGCTCCCAGAAGGCTGTGGAAGCAGGGAGCCCAACTCCTGTGGCTCTAATGCTGCTGAAATTCCTCAAGGAGGAGAAGAAACAGGTGCTGGATTCCTCCTTCATGTCTAACTGTGCATTTTGGGTGTTAACGCACCAAGTAAATTGGGAATTGCCTACAATGGAGTGGTGGCTGTGCAGGTATGTGCAGGGAGCCAGGGAATTCTGTGCGGATGTCTGTGCCCTCTCCTGGGGAATACCTGAATCACAGGGCTGCTGGAGCCACCTCCCGGCTGGGCAGAGAGATGGCCAATAGAATCCACAGGGATAAGTGCTGGAATGTGATCGGCATGGAGGGAAACTCCCAAGCTCAAAGGCTTCACTGCGGTCTGGCAGCGACTCCCAGCTCAAAGTAGCCCCACTCAGTAGCTGCGTTTCTGACCTTGAGGACTGTTAGTAAATCCTTAATCCCTGCAAAATCATTTATTTGGCACTGTTTAACTCCAAACTTTTAAATCAGGATGCTTAGCAGCCTTAAATCCAAAAGCTCATTAGCTCTCCTCAACTACCTTAATAACTATAATCTCTTTAATGGAAGCAACTCTGGACAGGATTTACCTTCCCAAAAAACCTTATTGACTGGGATTAAGTACACTTCTGCCTTCTAATTCTTCCCCAGTGAAGGAAGAACTGATAAAGAGTTGCTTTGCTGGAGCCCAGGCCGGGTTAGCCTCTGGCTCAGGACAGATGCTCACGCCAGGAGCTCCTAGAGGTAAAGGGTTTTCCTGCCTCCTTGGCCTTCCCTGGAGTTTGAAGCACTGGGAAGCTTCTCCAAAATGGGTCAGGCTTATCAGTCACCTCTCACTGGGCTCCCATCAGGGTTTATCTGGCTCTGCTGATGTAAATATCCACGTGGGATGCGTGGAACGCATTCCTGCAGCAGCGCAGGGAGCACCAGGAGCATGTCTGTGTGTGATTCCAGTTGAGGAGGTTTCTCAGCAAGTGCTTCCTCATTAGTATTTGGTTTAATCTGCTCCTTTACCGAAGAGCTGCTCTTGTTTCTAAGATCTTTCTTGGGTAACAACTAAAGAGCAGCAACAACAACAAAATAATAAGCAGTTTATCATTAATTTCCCTTTCAAGGGTTTTCCTTTCATCTCCAAGTTTCCTACATTTCACATTTTCTGACGTGTATTCACTCTGTTGTCTGCACTCCCTTTTTTTCCCCTTTATGACACTGTCTTTTTAATGGCTGCTTTGATTTCTGTGTTTTGTGGGTTTTCTCACCGCAGCCTCCTTGTTGTGGTCGCAGCTTCTTGACACTCAGTAAACCTTGAACTCTCCACTCCTGCTCCCATGTTTATCCACGTAATACTCCACAATTCCATTGGGGAAACTGACCTTGTTGAAGTAATAACCTATTTTTGGCTGAATCTGGAGAGTGAAAGTACGAGGAAGCCAAAAGTCTAAACGCAATCAATACTGAGCATTTCCCTGCTCTTCAGCAGGGCCCACAAACCAGGTGGTGGTGACATGGGGACATCATACATTTTGCAGAGCCCCCTGATTTCACTTCTTGCAGCAGTGGAGATTTTTCTGCTGGACAATTTGGTTCCCCTCTCATTATCTTGTGCCACTGATAACTCTGCCTCAAACTGCCAGGCTGTTCCTGCTCCACTGCCGAGGACTTGGGAGAAGGCTTCAAGGGAACTGGATAAAATACAATTACACTTCCCAGCTGACAGCTTTTGATAAGAGCCCCAGTGCTGTTTTCTGCTCCTTTTGTTTGCCCTGTAAAGTTTCCTGCCTTCCTCTCTGCTGCTTAATTTTACAAAGCCATGGCTGTGGTTCCTTCTGGCAGGTGCATCCAGGGGAGAAGAAGTAGGAGCACCTCAGGAGGGAAATCTGGACTGTCTTCGATGGCATTTGTTCTTCTAGTGTTTAATAAGCAATTCTGGATGATGCAAATGGCCATTTTTGTTGCTGTGAAAGGGGAGAAGGTGGTTAGGAGAGGGTTTAAGAGGGAATTTGGGTGACTGGCAGCCCTGGCAGGGGACCCCAAACTGCCCAGTTCCCTGTGATTCCTTTGAGGAAACAGTGAAGCAGATGCTTTGTGTCTGCTCAGATGGGTCAGGCAGCCCCCAGCACCTGTCCTAGCCTCCCCCCACCTCACTGCCCTCACTATATTTACCCAGGGGGAACTTTCCAAGAATGGAAGTGGTAAGATAAAACCCCTGAGGGGCTAAAATTAGCCCCAGGCCCCGGCCCTGTCCTGCCGTGGCATTTCAGCTGTGAGCTCTGAGCCTGCTCTGGTCACACAGAGCAAGTGGCCATCCCCAGCAAGGTCCCCTCTCTTCTGCTCCTGGTTTTGGGTTCAATCCACAGGAGGACTCTTCATGGGACCCCCAAGGCCTCAGGTGCTATGAGCATCCCCCCCTCCCCAGGTAAGGCAGCAGCTCCAGGACCCCCCGGCGGTGGGAGATGGGAGGTACCTGAGAACCAGCTGTACAAGTGGGTTCTCTGTCACAACCTCTTTTTGGGGGGGTCTGTGGGTGCCTGGACAGCTTCTTCCAGCTCAGGACATGACAACTTTCTCTGAGGGTGGGGAGGCCCTGGCACAGGTTGCCCAGAGAAGCTGTGGCTGCCCCATCCCTGGAAGTGTCTAAGGCCAGGTTGGTTGGGGCTTGGAGCAAGCTGGGCTAGTGGGAGGTGCCCCTGCCCATGGCAGGGGGCAGATGGGATGAGCTTTAAGGTTCCTTCCAACCCAAACCATTATGGAATTCCATGAACTCTAGTTTGGGCTCTTCTGGTTGAAGAGCCTCTGTGAGCTCCTCACAGAAGTACTTTCACTGTCCAAGTAACCTTCCTTTGGAGATCCTGTTTGTGTGTTCAGGAAATGTTACAGCTGCTCTTTTACTTTTCCACACTGTTCCCCTTGGAAATATAACTTGTAATATAACTTTCTTTTTGAACCAAATCTGCAATAACCCCCCCAAACCCAATTAGCCATGTGTATGGGGTGATCCCAAAGCTCCAGAGCTCATTATCAGCGTGTCTAATGAATAACAGCAATGCTACAATTCCATATATTTCTATATAAATTGGGACGTGTGGAAGCCCAGCAGAGCTTTGCTGTCGCTCAGAGCCATCAGATTTGTCCCACTTCCCCCAGCTGTGCCATGGCCTGGCAGAGGGTTACTGGGAGCTCGGGGGCGGATTTGGGACGGCCCCCCGGTGGCTGCCCCGTCGTTTGCAGATCGAGGTTAATTGCTCGAGGTGCAGCTCTTTGGCTCCTCCGAGGGCGGAGCAGAGACCGAGCTCTGCCTCTGCCGCGGAAACACGAGATGCCACAGGGCTGCCGAGAAATTCCTCTGCCCATCCCATTTCCAACTGGGACATCACATTCCTGTCTCTTGCTGCACTGAGGCCACATCCTGCACCCAGAGCCCGGCAGTCGTGAGGGGGGGGGGGAGTTTCAATCTCTGCTCAGTATGATCAGCTCAGCATCCCCCCTTCCTCCCACCACCCCAAACCCCTCACTACTAACATCCCAGACCCAGCTATGTTCCTTGGGCTGAAGGAGGAGAGGGGAAAACTGTGGAATTCTAATGCTGTCATCGTTTTGGGAAGGGAGAAGCTGAAAGGTGTTTGATCCCTAATCAAACCAACTCCCTTCACATTCACCTCATCCTCTGTTTTGAAACCCAAGTCCTGTAAAAACTGGCAGGGGTTAAAAACCTTCCAACACTGCCAGCTTTTCATCCGGGTTTCCTGAAACACTTGGAATTGCAGGTGCTGGTGAGAGTCCCAGGAACGAAGCAGAATTGTTTCCCACTCTTTTCCAACATGCTCTTTTCTCCCAGAGAGAACTGGATGGGGATTGCTGAGAGTTTGGGAAATGGGAGGCTTTGCCCAGCAGTGGGTGCAGGGGCCTTGCCAGATCCTGTGGCACCCAGAGTCTTCCTGATCTCCAGGTTGAGTATCCCATGAGGAATCTCTTACCCTTTACCCCCTCAGGGCTGATGGAGCCAGGCTGCGAGAGCTGGGGGGGTTCACCTGGAGAAGAGAAGGCTCCAGGGAGACCTGAGAGCCCCTTCCAGGGGGCTCCAGGAGAGCTGGAGAGGGACTTTGGACAAGGGATGGAGGGACAGGATAAGGGGGAATGGCTTCCCACTGCCCTCTGGGCAGCGTTAGATGGGATATTGGGAAGGAATTCTCCGTGAGGGTGGGGAGGCTCTGGCACAAGTTGCCCAGAGAAGCTGTGGCTACCCCATCCCTGGATGCGTCCAAGGCCAGGTTGGATCAGCCTGGGCTAGTGGAAGGTGTCTCTGCCCATGAAACTGGATGAGCTTTAAGGTCCCTTCTGACCCAGACCATTCCATGATTTTAAGGGAACATGACCCACGTACCTGCTACACCTTTGCCCTCTGTTGTTGCCTCAGCCCTACACCCACAGGATTTCCTCACGTGGTGGCAGGGCAGGGCTGCCCATCAGCAGCACCAGAACCCAATGCTCTTTGTCCATTTTTGTTTTAAATCTTCCCCATATTGTACATTAAAAATAATGCTAAAAAGCTGGCGTTGGTGTCAGGGGCTGGTTCTCACCTGCTTTTGTCATCCTGTAGATCTTTGCCTTTATCCTTTACCATGAAAGCAGCACATGGGCGACAGACCCCCAAAAATGAGCCTGATGGACATCAACAAAATGTTCTCCATGCTCCAGCCCAGGGATGACGAGCAGGAGGACGATGGGGAGAGCGAGGAGCTGAGCCGGGCAGTGTCTGAGGATGACTGTGAAACGCTGCATCGCCTCCTGTCCCAGGACAGGTACAAGAGGCTCATCAACCGCCGGAGCGGCTGGGGAGTCCCCAGCACCCCCCTGCGCCTGGCGGCCACGCGGGGCTGCGTGCGGAGCCTGCGGGTGCTGCTGGCCCACGGGGCTGAGGTGGACGGCCTAGACGTGAAGGCCCAGACCCCGCTGTTCGTGGCCGTCAGCAATGGCCACCGAGAGTGCGTGGAGGCCCTGCTGGATGCCGGGGCCAGTCCCGCAGGCAGCATCTACAACAACTGCTCCCCGCTGCTCCTCGCGGCCAGGGACGGCAACGTGGACATCCTGCGGCAGCTCCTGGAGCACGGAGCAGAGCCCAACGTCCAGGCCAGGCTGCCCCAGTGGGCGGCCAACTCAGTGTCCTGTTCTGGACCCCTGTACCTGGCGGCCGCCTACAAGCACCTGGAGTGCTTCAGACTGCTGCTCCTGCACGGGGCCGACCCCGACTACAACTGCACGGATCAGGGGGTGATCGCCCAGATCAAGGAGCCCAAGACCCTGCTGGAGACGTGCCTGAGGCACGGCTGCCATAGCAAGTTCATCAAGCTGCTCATTGACTTTGGAGCCAATGTGTACCTGCCCAACGTGCCCGTGGATGGGCCGGCACCACGCAGCGAGGGGCTGGAGCTGCTGCTGCAGGCCAGAGGTAACCTGGGGGTGGGCCCAGGGCTGGAAATAGGCACTAGGTTTGCTTGTTTAAGCTGCTGATGATTCCTCTTCCCTTTATCTTTTGCTTTACCCAGGCTTTCCTTAAGCCTCAGCTCCCTTTGCAGCATCACTTGACTACTGCCCCATCCCTGGAAGTGTTCAAGGCTGAGCTGGACAGGGCTTGGAGCAACCTGGTCTAGTGGAATATGTGCAAGATGGGCTTTAAGGTCTCTTCCAACCCAAGCCATTCTGTGATTCTATGATTCCCACAGCCTGGTATTTCCACTCCATTGTTGGATTAAAGGCTGCTTTTCACCATTCCTCTCCTCTCTGCTGCTCAACTTGGGCTTTCCTATACTGCCTGTGTCAAGGAAAAATGCACTTATTTCCATATGAGGATGGAAGGTTTCCTCTCCAGGCCCAGCTCCTATGGAACTCGTGCTGCAAAGCTTGTGTCTGGCTCTGTGTCCCCAAACACAAGAGACCTTTGGTTTTCCTAGAATCATGGAATGCCTTGGGTTGAAAGGAACCTTAAAGACCATCTAGTCCAACCCCATCTATTTTTGATCTGTCCATGTCCTTTTGCTGGGTTGGAGGGAAGCAGGGTCTTGGGGGTGACCATCTTGTTATTCCTGTCTCCTCACACAGCTCATCCCAAGTCCCTGCTGTCCCAGTCCCGACTGGCCATGAGGCGAATCCTGAAGCAGCCTGGCCACCTGTCCACCCTCAGAGAGCTGGAAATCCCCACAGTCCTGGCCAACTACCTGCAGCACCAGCCGTGACACAGCCCGCCTCCAGGGACAGCCACTCTGACATCTGGGAGTGAAGCTCTGAAATCCATGGAACCAACAGGAATTTGTGTCACAAAGTCATTCCCGTCTCCAAAATTGGTGCCTGTGTGAAAGGTTGGGGAGGGAAGGGGCAGAGGAAACAGGACACCTCAGCTCCTGGTCTGCATCAGAGTGATGGTGGAGCAGGATCTGATTCCCTGGATCTGCCTCTAAACCTCCTTACCGAGGGATTTTTCACCTTGAGTTGATGTTGGTTGGAGAAGGGGTTGGGAAAAAGTGTGGAAGGCAGAGGGAGAGGAGCAAAGGCTGCTTTTCCCTCATCCCCTCCTGGGGGACACAACCAGGTCTGTGCCTGCAGATTCCCCCACAATGTGGCACCTGCTGTCCCTGAACCCCCTTTCCCACGGTGGGGAGGCCCTGGCACAGGTTGCCCAGAGAAGCTGTGGCTGCCCCATCCCTGGAAGTGTCCAAGGTCAGGTTGGACGGGGCTTGGAGCAAGCTGGGCTAGTGGAAGGTGCCCCTGCCCATGGCAGGGGGTGGAATGAGATGAGCTTTAAGGTCCCTTCCAACCCAATTCATTCCCTGATTCTGTGATTCCCAGAGGGGTTTCCAAGTGTACCCTCTGTTCAGCAGGGGCAGAAGTGGGGATGGACCCAGCCATGTGTGCCCACCCTGGCTGGGAGGGGTATCCAGAGTCCCAAAACCCCAACTTATCTCTGACCTCAAACATCATCTTCCTCACCCCAAAAGTGGTTCTTGTTGTAGCTGAGGGTCTTCTGTGACTGGGTTTTAATTAAAAATGTTGCTACTGTTGCTATTAAACTCTTGTGACCCATTTGGGGGCATATCCCATATTTGGAAGAGCCCAGCAGACCAGCTGGCACCACTGAAGGGACGCAGGGAATTGCTGTGCCTGGGGAATTTCAGGATGAGCCTGGAGTGATACATCCCGGCACCACCGCCATGACTCCCCATCTCTCAAGCCTTAGACATTGGGATCATCCTCACTGGTGGAGGTGCCTTTCTGACTCTTCCCACAGCCAGGAGCTGACAGATAAACCCCAGTGCTGGTGATTCTCTAGAGCAGTTTTGGGATGCAGCAGAATGTGTTCCTGAGCGTTTATTCCATCCTGCCCTAACGGCATCCCAAAGGGAAGCACTGCCAGGCAGACGTACGGGATTGGAGCTCCATGTCAGGGGCTCCAAAGATCACTCTCGGCCAAACACAGGACTCCTGCAGGATTTATGGGCTTGTTTCAAGGGTCCTGGGATCTATTTATCAGCATCTATTAATTAGGCTGTGAGGCCTCTCTGAAGGGGAGAATTAGGGCTTGGATATAGCTGGACAAAGCATTGGGTATTGCTCTATAGGGGAACATAATGCTCATGGCATTTCCCTCCCCATCCAGACACTGTGATGGTGATCCAATGGGAGATGGCAGGTGGGATCCACATGGGGATCTGAGGGGGCTTTGGAATTTGGGTGGTCCCCAAAAGGAGGAGGAGTTTTCAGTGCCGGGCTGCTCAGTGCGGCGTGAGATAGGGGGGAGCGAGGTATGTGAGAGGTGGGGGTGAGCCGGGGGGGTGACTGGGGGGTCAGCTGGGCGTGCAAGGGGTGTGATGGGTGGTGGGAGCTGGAAGTGGGCCACGTGGGGTTGAGCTGGGGGAGTGATGTGTGGGTGGGTGCTGGGGGGGCAGTGGTGAGTGCTGTGTGTGAAACAGGTGGGTGGAAGCAGGGTGGAAGTGATGTGTGGGCTGGGGGTGCAATGGGTGAGTGGAGCTGGGGGTGCAAGGGGTGCACGGGAGTCAGATGTGCAATGGGTGGGTGCTGGGGGTGTGAGAGGGGTGTGAGCTGGGGGGGGACGGGTGGCGTGAGCTGAGAATGCAGTGGTCGGTGTGAGCCGGGGTGTGACCCAGGTGTGTGATGGGTGTGTGGGTGTGAGCCAGGGGTGCGATGGGTGGGTGTGAGCTGGGGGTGCGACACAAGTGTGTGATGGGTGGATAGGTGTAAGCCGGGTGTGCAGCGGTGGCCCGCGGGTGACACCCACGTGGGTGGCAGCAGCGCACACGCCACCGTCCCCCTAGAGTCACACCCTGTCACATCCGGCAGTGCCACCTGCCCCCGTGTCCGCGTGTCCGGGACCCGCGTGTCCCTCTATCACCCACCGCCCCGCGACCACGCCCCCACAGGGAGACCACGCCCCTCGGCGCAGAGGACGCCGAGCTCCGCCTAATGAGGCCACGCCCCCTTCGCCACCGAGACCACGCCCACGCCACCGCCCAGACTCACGCGAGAGTGACGTCACGCCCCATAACTGATATCCCACCGTGCAGACCACGCCCCCGAGGCCACGCCCCATAACTACGAGTCCACGGCGACGGCCGCGCCCCCTG